GACAATTTTATTTGATTTTGAAAGAATTTGAAAAATCAAGTAATTCATGAACTGTACAAAGGTGCACTACTGCATAGGAGCATATGACACAGGGCACCACATGTTGCGAATTCAAATTAGCAAAATGCAACAACAACAACAACAAAAAAGAGAATGCAAAAAAACCAAACCAACTGATGTACAGTTTTTCTTTCTTGCCTCAAACTGGTCATGAAAGTAACTAAGAACTTTGTAATGATGGAGGATAATTTTGCTTGCAAGAAGTAAACTGACATAACTTTTCATAAATTTTTTTGTAAGATGAAGTGGTTGGAATTTAGATGTCCTCAGCATGATAACACAAGTCATCTGACTCTTGGGCAATGACTCATTGAATTCTCAAAGGGATATTTGAAATAAAGGAAAAGGCATTTGTGACATAAAACAATGGTATTTTTCAATTTTAAAAACATGTTTTTCTCTCTTCTTTTTTTACCCTTGCTCATTTTGATAAAATTAACGCCATATGATTAGTTTTAAAAAAGTACGCATGAAAATGTTCGGTATTTCAGACATAATCATAATTATGGTAACATATTATTCTAATTAATAATGATTTGTTCAAGAAGCTGAGAGCAAAGACGACTTTAAATATATGATGGTGGTAGTGAGTGATGTTGTGAGATGTATAGAGAAATTATTGAGAAGACCTGGTGTGTTGGCACACTATCAGCTGGTAGTTGCTTACTTGTGGTCTGTCCCAGTTGACAAGCCGGTGAGCTTTTCTGCACTTGAGTTGTGCCTGTTTATTTTTCACTCTCAAAATTTTAAGGGACAAAATACAGGGTGTGGACTTTTTTCATGACAGCATAGCATTAAAATGGTCAGTTTGAACATTTGGGTCCGTAGCAACTTTTCCAGCCAACTCTTTGAGAAAGGTTCATATTTGCATTTTTTAACAACTTTGATGAAATAAAAACTAAAAAAAGAAATTCCTCAAAGAACTAAGCTATTCCCACTGGTCTTCTCATATACAGTGAGACTAGTGTGTTTAGGTTGAGGAGAGCACAGAAAAAAGTTGACTAACATCCATATATATATATATGTATACTAGCTGGGCCCCCTTTCGATGAAAGGAATGATCGGTGCATTAACATCAACTGGAAGTCATTAGCCTACTATATTTTTACACTCTACTGTAATGGAGCAATAAATCTTGAGAAATGCAAAAAATTAGAATGTCTATATCTAGATGATCTATACTCTCAAAGCAAAATGCGCCTCGCAAAATATCACTTCCACACCGGATTTTCTAAAATTACAGAGACAGAAGCGTCAGCCTACAAAAGCGATTGG